AATTTGTCTTTAAATTTTTTTTACAGTGGGCAGAAAAAGCACACTGTAATCTAAACCCTTTTGTAATCTTCTGAATTCCCAGAAACAGACCTGTCAAGAATCAGCATGTACTGTATACGTGGCTGACAGAAAAATACAATTTAAATATTAAAGAAATCGGTTAAATTGTAAAAAAAAACACAGATGCCAATTTTTAGTCAATGGGTTAATGAATAGATGAAAGGTGTGATACTGATGAGTTGCAGTGGATACAAACAAGAAAGACCCTTGATCGGCTGTGCTTTGCCCAGAGTCTGCAGTGTTAAAAGGGGAAATGAACTGACAGGGATATGACAAAGCTGATACCGACACCTCTTGGTGATTGCAAGAACTGCACTGCTGTTTGGCACAACAGTACTTTATGCCGTTTACTGAATCTGTCACTTTATCAATGAACATTGAAAAGGATTAAGTACATGGTAAGGTTTCACCTGAAAGTTGGTGGAGCTGCTAACAAAAAAAAACAATTGCAAGGAGCAGGAGAGATGGATCTCCTGGGGAACACAAACGTATTGAAGAAATTGCAATTGCCAGTTGCCACCAGCTGTAAGAAATTATCAAGAGAACACAAGTGTTGATAGAGCTCAGCTTCTGTCAACTTTTTACTCCGAGAGTTGCAGGTGTGTGGAACAACCTTCCCAGCCCATTTCAGAAGCTCCTCTTCCACTCGAAGGAAAGTTGAGTGACGTCTGGAAAGTAATTACTCACCCCAGTAGCCTGGTAAAATTTCAAAATCATCCAGGCACGGGCTGCACATTGGAGGTGCTGAATGGGGAGTCTCCGTTACCTGTAAAGCACTTTGAGTGGAGTGTCCAGCACTATATAAGTGCAAGGATTATTATTATTATGTAAACAGGCCTGATGTGCCAAACGGTCTCCTCTCTTTTGTAACCGTTCTTATGTTCCAGAAATATATTTCTTAGATTGGACCCTGTTACAGCAAAATAAAGCTTATTTTTTTTAAAAAAAAGTTGTGTTTTATTCATTTTCTAAGTATACTTGAAATTTGTCTCCTGAGTAAGTAGTGCTATTGACTATTGTGGAATGCCTGTGCTTACTGTAACCTGAGGTCCTGTGCCATTGACTGCACACTTTGAGATGTTCAATAGGGAAAATCGCTGTAAAATTAAAACTGAAGTGAATTCCTTTTTTACCCCCGCTATCCGGACAAAAATCCATCTCAGGTCTGGACAATCTGACCTTCCAAACGCCCCCCATTAATGCACTTAAAATAATCGATTTCTTACTTCTCCCCCAAATGTGCTGTGTAGTGGGGGCAGCAGTTCAGTGGTTGGGTGAAGTAGGTTTCCTCTTATATGAAAAGCGTTGTACAAGTGCACGGACTTGGAAGTAATAACACCTCTAAAAACCGCCTCAGATATTGTTTCAGCTAAACCATTTTCTGGACTGTAGTAATAAGAGGCCAGTTGCTGTAACACTAAAAATGTTCGTTTCTCTCGGGATAAAACTATAGAACTAACGTGGACGAAGGTGTCTAAAATAAATATCGATAGCGGGTCGATGTAATTAATCTTTTTCTTCGAACTAGACCCTTACAGAGGTTGTTCGTCTTCAGAGAAGACGGGATTAACGAGCACTGTAGGGACAAAAAAAGTGCTTCGGCTACAACATGTGTTTCCACTGACACCGGAAGCAGTGACGTTTTTAAAAAAACGGTATTACAGAGAGGGCTAATTGTCTTATTGCTATTGGTATCAAGGTATTTTGAGGTAAGTGCTGTAGATGTGTTTATCATTCATAATTTTTAATCATTCTTATTTTTGGTGTAAGGGTATAGTCACGCATGATGTGTGCTGGTAATGCCATACTGCCCAGAACAGCGCCCGGTCAAGTTCAATTATGTGTGTAAATAAAATACAGAGCACTCATCCACCGGACCCATGCAGAAATAAGAGAAGCATATATGAAGATATAGAAAGGGATAGAAAATTTAAAGTGTGCTAAATGCTTAGAATATGTTTTTTTAATCGGCTGTGTAACAGTGCAGATATGTTTGAATTTTAAAACAGGTAGATTATAATTTTTATATTGGAAATGTGTACTTCCGCCGTGCAACTCACAACCGGCAACCTACTGAAGCTCAATAGGTGTGAGTCTGGTGAGTACCTGGATGTAGGGGCGTAGCCACTGGTGGGCCTGGTGATTGATCCTAGGCCTACCCAATCAGTCCAAAGTAATTTAAGATTTTTTTTCCACTTGTTTACGTTATATGATTTGCTTTTTTAATGTTACGTGTTTGATTTTTTCTCCATCGTATGTGATTTGCTATTGGCTCGCTGTATCTTTTGTGACCAATAAGACAATAATGTAAATATCGTGGGGCGGTGCATGCGTAGCCGTAGCCTAATTGGCTATCGTTGACATCAGACTCTTAGAGCTATCTAGCTCTAGGTTTTTGGTGTATTAGCCAACATGTACACCTGTAGATGACCAGACCAGTCCTGAAATAAATAAGACACATGAGTTGCTACAGGCATCTTGGGTTTTAAGGAGTACAACCTGGCTTCCCGAATACAAGTGTTTCTGGACCGCAAGGGGCAGTGCACACGCGTTTGCTTGTAGCAGCTCGATACATGCTCGACCTGTAGGAGTTAAGCACGAAGAGGTTCTACAATTTCTCCTGTAAACAAATTACAAGTTTTGGAAAGCATGAATAGCATTAAGATAATATTGACAGAGAGAAGCGAGTGTGCATTTTGCAGATAACTATTCAGATCGCCTCTAAATGCCCGACGTTTAGAGAGCTAAAATACATCCAAAGTACTGTAATACGTCTATAACAATTCAGTGTTTTACATAGCTCTCTAAACGTCGTTCACTTAAAAATACTGCAGGGCATTTAGACGGGGTCACTGGAGGTCAAAGTCACCGTGCATAGTCATGTGATCGCTCTTTTACAGTTTAGCTCGTACCCTTAACATTTTAAAGACAATCAATATCCATAAACATATGAGCCTCCTTGATGTGAATAATACTAAGATATGACGCATGCCAACAAGTTAACCATCTATGACATAAACCTGTGGTTGTAATGTATGTAAAATCATCGTGATTGTAAGATCTATGGTTTTTATTTTCTAAGGCACATTCTGCTTTTCTTTCCCTACCGTGACACGCTGTTGCCAAATGCGTAACTGTGGGATACCATCGCGACAAGACCTCCCCAGCATGTCATGATAGGAACCCCATATGGCATGTATATTGCGGCAGTGTATATCACGACTGGCGCCTTGCTTTCATGCCACCCTGGCACTGCTGTGCAATAAAGGTCTCATATCAGGACATGATATACCCAGATAGGACGTGTCATGATATATGGACTTTGTGTCGCGTCATGGGGTCAGCATATCCTGTCAGGGTATGTCCTATTGCAACATATGGACTCCTTGTCGCGACATGAGGGCGGGGCTTTATGAAGGGGTATGTCATATCTCAATATACGGGCTTCCTGTGGCGACATGGGCATGACAGTTTTTGTCATATCGCGATATATGGACTCTATGTCGCGACATGGGGGCGGGGCATTTTTGCCTGGGGGGGGATGTCATATCGCGATATGCGGGCTTCATGTCGCGACATGGGGGCGGGGCATTTTTGCCTGGGGGGGGGATGTCATATCGCGATATGCGGGCTTCATGTCGCGACATGGGGGCGGGGCATTTTTGCCGGGGCATGTCATATCGCGATATGCGGGCTTCATGTCGCGACATGGGGGCGGGGCATTTTTGCCGGTGCATGTCATATCGCGATATGCAGGCTTCATGTCGCGACATGGGGGCGGGGCATTTTTGCCGGGGTATGTCATATTGCGATATGCGGGCTTCATGTCGCGACATGGGGGCGCGGCATTTTTGCCGGGGTATGTCATATCGCGATATATGGACTCAATGCCGCGGGAGTGGCCATGACAGTGATGCGCAAATCGCAATGGGTATCGCGATGTGATCGTGATGCCCGCACGTCTATGCTATCGAAGTCGTGACTGGAAACCAATGGATGTGTTACTGTATATCCAGCGTGCTCATACAGCACACACGGTACACACAGAACTTCCGCTGTGGCGCTTTACCCAATCAGAGTGTCGATTCTCACTCTTCACCCAATCGCGGCCCGGACTGTTCGGGGGTTTTAGCCAATCACGGGGCTGAGAGCTGTTCAAGCTAGCAGCGCCAGGTGGATCGGCTTGTTTAATGTCAATGAGAATTGGCTTTTAACAGTGGGTTCATGATTTTTGGGTCAAATGTTTTTCTTAACAGGGAATTAAATGAGCGTAGCCAGAAATGTGAGAAAATGCATACACGTACAACACCTACAGGATCAGAGGGGATACTACAGTGTTAAATGGTTACAAAAGGAAAAAGAAAAAATAGGTTTTCAAAAAGAGAAATCAGCAGGAGGCTCATAGATCTACCTCCTATTTACTCAGTTTTAAGAAGATAACTCGTCACTACACTCCTAAAATCTCAGCAAGAATTTTTGACTGCAGACACGGTGCTGTCTGTAAATAGAGACGGCTTTTTAAGTAACTCTAAAACATAAAAATAAGACTTACAAAGCTTAAGAATTTGTAAATATTAATACAACTAAATGTAGCCTACTCTGAGGTTTACGCATTTCACAGTGCAATTACGAACTGTATGAAATTAATGTACCGTTCTGTTTCACGTAGGCATGTTGGTTGCTGGGATATGTAGTTTAGTACAGTAACTCATACATTTGCAGCGCTCAGCAATACAAGATTATATCCATAAAATAACCTATCGTAACCTTTATGGGGTAGAAGGCAACAGATTGTTTCGTCCCTTCTTGCAAAGTGGCTGTGACCGTTTTCACAAAGAAGCGCTACAACTAGCTATCTCATACAACTACTTTACAAATGCACGCTGTTTCCTCCGACACAGGAAGTAGTAGCTTTCAAATATGATGTAGCTGCTGCAGCTTAGATGAATCGTGGAACAGAATCCTCCTGTTATCTGTCTGCTTTACCTAAAATTAAATCGCGTGTTTTAGAAGATAAATTTTAGAAGCACAAAAAGTTCTGTACGGTGGATGAGATTTACAGTGAAAGTGAGTATAACATACATTATAGCAATTGTTAGAGCAGAGAACAACGCTGTAACGGGATAAGTAAGCTAATATCAGAAATTTGAGAAATACTAAGTATTAAATATGTAATAGGTAGTAAAACGTTAGCGACAGAAAAATGCACATAGGAGTGTAATAAATTATTACCCGTTATGTGAATAAAATGTAATACAAAGCAGTTAAACCTGTAAATTTCCAGTGATTTGGAGTTCAGGGACTTGTTAACTTGTGTGTGACTTAACCATGTACATGTAACATTGTGCTTCATTCAGCAGATGAGCAAAAACGTCCCGAGAGCAATTGGTTTTATAAACCTGGTGCAAATGTAACCTAATTCTTTACTTGCAAAATATGCAAATAAAATTTGGGGGTGTTTTATTTTAATTTGTATCCTTTCTCGCCCCCCAAAAAAGGCTTGTTGCTTAATTTCGATTTTAAACGGTTTTCAAACATTTTCGGAGATGAAGAGTATTAAAGATGCAGGAGATTAGGCAGATTTGTGCTGTCTTCTATGTAAATCTGTGGTCCTAATAGTGTTTACCGTTATTGTAGAATTTGTTCATGCTGTAAACAGAAAACTGTCAAAGCAGCGCACGTCTTTGCAGATATTAAGACAGATTGCAGATGTGCCTAAGTATACTATTTCATTGTAGTCTTAGATAACTGTTGCAGTTACAGCTGCTGTCATAACTACAGATGTAGGAGTGGTTTCTGTAAAAACGAACCTTTTTAATGGTGGATTATGTAAATACTAGTCAGTCACAGTGCATTGTTTCAGACAAGCAAAGTTAATTAAATTCTATGGTTCCTTTGGTGTTTTATACATCTCTGGACATTCTATTTTTTAAATACAGGGTCGGCAGCTGAAAAAAAAAAGAAGCCTTAAAAATACAGAGGTGGAGGATGGCCCATTTAATTAGAGATGGCATCTCCAAAGGAGTCATTCACCGAAATTTATTAGAGGACACAAGAGTGGTAAAAATTAAAGAAGACCCGGATATGGGAGATGTGGGAAACAATTTAGATAAAACCTTGTATCTGTGCACTGATTGCGGGAAGAGTTTCAGTACAATAGGCCAGCTTGAATCCCACCAACTACTGCATGGCTATGGGAAGCTCCCATTAGGGAATTCTGACTGTGAAGAATCGGTCACTCCGAGAGGCCCCTCTGGGAAAATCCCTGGATCCCAATCACCGTTTACCTGCAGTGAATGCGGAAAAGGCTTTTCTAAGCGCTGGTACCTGAAAGAGCACCAGCGGATCCACTCCGGAGACCCCACCCATCGCTGCCTAGTCTGCGACAAGATTTTCCTCCAAGCAGGGGACCTGAGGAAGCACCAGCGCACGCACACGGGAGAGACCCCCTACAGCTGCCCTCACTGCGACAAGAGCTTTGCCCAGTCCGGGGGGCTCAGGAACCACATCAGGACCCACACCGGGGAGACGCCCTACCGCTGTGAGGACTGCGGCAAGCGTTTCAGCCAGTCGGTGCACCTGAAGAAGCACGTGCGGATCCACACGGGCGAGACCCCCTACCACTGCGACGTGTGTGGCAGGAGCTTCAAAAGGGGGGACACCTTCAAGATCCACCAGCGCGTGCACACGGGAGAGAACCCCTACCAGTGCAGCGAGTGCAACAAGAAGTTCAGTCACCTGGGCAGCTTAAAACTACACCAGAGGGTTCACACACGAGAGACCCCTTATCATTGCACTGTGTGTGGGAAGAGTTTCTCTCAGTCAGGCACACTTAAAAAGCACAAGAGAATTCACACCGGAGAAAGACCTTTCATCTGTCAAGTGTGTGGTAAGGCTTTCACTCAGCTGCCACATCTTAAATCACACCTGAAGGTTCACAACAAGAAGGCTTAAATGTGTGTCCCGCACAGCTTGTCCTCCAACACTGGTGTGTCCTGGTGCACCAACAGGCTGGTCTCCTGTTACACTAATCAGTATTATTGGGAGGCCCAGGGGGTTATGGCACAGCTTTGTTTTACAATGTTAAAAGCCCTACTCTGTATGTCTTAGGGACCAGCTCTGTGGGTGCTGTACAGTATACCTGTATGTTCAAGCACACCAGATATTTTGGATCAAAAAGTTATCATTGTAAAGCAAAGGTGAATGGATTTTTACTTTGTGAGAGATTACACAGATAGGACTGTATTCACAGTGCAATTCACAACTTGTGTCTTGTCCCGGACTATGAAATCAACTTATCTGACCTATGTGATTCAGTTGATTTGTCATTTAATGACCTATCAGCGAATCAATAATGATGTTCGATCAGAACAATTGTCTGTGTAGGACAGTCGCTGCCAGCAAGTGAACTTCACAGGTGTTATATATTTTAAAAATGGTGTATTTGTATTTCAGAAAAGCAACACTACCAAAAAAATACATACCCCCATTATCTGCACTCAACTTAATTTCATTGACAATAGGATTAATAAGCTATCTTCTAATGTGCTTGATGAGGGTGAGGAAGCCAGCACTTCAGCAGAGTGGGTCATTGGTATTTTGGTGGCTTATCTTTTATCATGATCATCGAAAGGCCTTTTTGCAAAAATCCAAAACATAGGAGTTATTGATGTTTTTCCACAAAGGCAGCATCCAACCAACATCTAATCGAAAAAGGAGCTGATGGATGGTATCATGCGCTAATTTTCTAAACAAATGAACAATCAGTCACTACAAATCTTCTAGCAAAACAAATAAGTTCTGCTTAGAAAAAGTGTGTTCCATATTCACGGAGATGCTGTTCTACTGGATCTTGAAGGTGCCATAAATAACTTCATTAGCAGGAGTGCGACATGAAGAAACCCATCATCGTTAATAGTATAATGCCTTCATGAGTATTAAGAAATGGTTAATTTCTATGGGAGGCAGAGAAATGCTCTAAAAGATAAGCACCCCTATTAATGGTAAAAAGCTGGCACTTATGATGTAAGTCCTTCTTGAGGAGGGATGTCCAGTACGAGATGGCATGAACATTTCAAGATCTGTCGAAAACATCAGCATTGGAAGATGTTCAAGTCCAATTAAGTCAGCAGTGAGTTGATATAGTTTCAGAACTGAGTAGGAGTGTAACCCTGCAAACACCCACCTCTGCGTTAGAAGGTGCTGCACTTAAAGTGTGCTTAAGAGGGTGCTGAGTCATTCACTATCTGAAAAAAAAAGTGGTGGAGAATAATCTGGGAATAAAAGTGCTATTTAAAGTATTATAGTGTTATTTTGTGTAGGTGTGTACTGAAAGTTTGTCGTCATTTTCAGGTAAAAGGTAAATGTTACAAAATGTGCTGCACAGATATGTAATAACCAGACCCGCGGTATTCAAAGTCTTCCTTTGATAGAAAGGGCCATGTGAAAAGGTTTTATGAGTTTGCTCTCCAAAAATGGCTGGTTTACTTAAGTACCGTTTCTAACTGTTAAGGCCCATCATGGATTTTACCAGTAATATTCATTTTCTTGTGAAGGAAGCATACACTCCTACCTGTGGTGTAGTTCCACCCTAGTTTAGTATTCAGCTGTCTAGCAATATGTTTAGCGATTTAAAAAAGCCATTATTCAACATACAAAAGGGGAGTTCATTTTTATTTCCTTTCAAAACAGTGGCTAATGAAAGTATTGACCTCTAACAGAATCCCAGGATAGAAAAATGCCTTGTTAAGACTGTTATTCCACATTATTGAGGAGAGTCATACAATAATCCAAACTATATTACATACCTGTACACATTCCGATCTTTTGTTGATGTTGTTGGAGAAAACCTTGTGGATGAGTAGTGCGCTAGGGCTATAAAGACATTTGAGTATAAAAGACACTACATGGACTGCAACTATTTACTGTAATTGGTATTTTGCTGTCAATGAGTTATCATAGATTTTACTATAGAACACCTCAGAGCATTAAAGAGCATTATACAGTAGATATGGTAATTATTGTTTCTTATGCACTTTCAGTTTTCCTTTCAATATAAATTACATTGTCCAATACATTTTCTTAATAGTTATCTAATTGTGTAAGCATGTCAGCTTACAAAGAAAAAAAGTGATGCATATGAATCAAATGGTCTTGGATATAATGGATGACTGTGCCATTAAGCCCCTGACCCAACTGCTTCTTTTCAATGACAGCTTCCAAATGGTTTTGTCTTCTGGATTTTTTTTCTAGCAGGTCTTGACTGCAGCTAAACAGAAAATACTGGATAGAGACTGAGGTACAATTTGACCACACTGGACTGTATTTGGTGTCTGTGTGTCTTCTAATGGGAAGAAGTATGGTTAGGTCATATTGTACCAGTTCTAACACTGTGACTGTGTAAAAATTTAATTAGCCCTTCTTACTTACTTTTTTGGTGTGTGAGTGAACTTCCATTCTTCATAAACATCTTTTGTATATGTTGTATTTTTTGGTTGCATTTTGGAAAATTAAAATTTGTTTAAAAAAGCAAAGAACATCGTATAAGCATGATCTTATGTATTTATTTGATGGTATAGACAGCTCTCTGAAGATACATCATGTATTACAGAAAGGGGTTTAATTAGGCAAGAATTTAGCTGAGCACAGTTTAAAGGACACAGAAATGTGTAACTTCTTGCAGGCCACTACTTCATATGATGACCTTTGGGTGTTATTTAGGTTTTTTTCCAACATGCAAGAATATGCAATTTTATCTGGTTTCACATTACCATGGTACTCATGTGGTATACAGCAACAGCTAAGTCTAGGAAACAACCAACACATAACCATGCAGACATTTAGCAATAAAGTTAAATAGGTAACCTTACTGAAATGAAAGCAGGTTTCACTGGAATTGCGATAGTACAACTTCTATCACACTGTTGTTTTCCGAAACTGGGCACCAAGGACTTAATTCTCCATGAAATTACACTAGTAGGTTTGACAAGAAACACAAAGACAGAGGTCATGAAAATAAACACAAACATTCTAGAAATAAAACTTCAACACTACTGTTTTAACTTGTTTTATGTTTTACGGTTATAAAAGTATAATTTTGCTGTACCTTGCTTGCACTATGCAGTGTACTGGTTCAGTGTCTATACTTTTTGTAAGCAAGATGATCCGCACACTGTTGAATCCTGAAGTGGCACACACAGATGTATACTGACTTTCATTTCACATATCTTATGGTGCATGTATGATCTTGTCTAAACATCTGTCATTATACTTTCAGTGTATAAACACTTGCTGATGGATTAAAGTGGTAAATGCTAGAGTATCTTCAATTGTTTGGCACTGAGGACACACACTGACCGTAGTAAGTGCTTTGCACTTCTTTCAAATTATTCTCAGGTTATCTCTATTAAATAAGGAGCATTGATACCTGATGGAATCTGTTTGTTAATTGACCTTTCCTTTGTGCCAGAATTTCTCAGTGTGCAGATCATCATAAAATAGGTATCTAACACTTAGGAAAATTCTTAAGTAAATTTGATAAAGAACACTTTGTGTCTGACTCACAGTGACTATAGATAAATACAACTGTCTCTTAATAGTATAATTCAAGGTGATGTCAAAATAATATCCTAAATTCATGATCAGGTTATACTTAGGAAATGAACTGTTGACATTGCCCGTTTACTCAAGGTAAACAGCACTGAGGACCGCCTGAAGTTTGGCCTTAGCCTGTGTAAATGTGGCACAAAGAGATTAATGTGTTTACTGTCACTTTCAAAAGCCAAAGGGAATTTCTGAAAACAAGTATTTCTTTCTAATAATCAAAGCAGAAAAAAGCTCATTACAAAACTCAGATTATAAGGTGCTGGACCTATTTCTTTGCAACACATCTATGGCATGTGTAGCTTGTCCCCAGTAGGGATATAGTTACCATGAATCAGGTGTACATCCAGTCCTGAGCCACACAGATCTTTCTCTAAACCAGCAAAGAATTCTTCATCACACTAGGCTGCCCCACCCATCACAGTAGAATTCAACACTAATGAATGTCTTAGGGGTTATATAACTGTAACAGACTCATTTACTACATGAGCCCTGTTATACATTTAACTATTTTTGCAGTTCCAAATCCATTCATCTCTCTCCCACTCAGGCTGCATGACAGGATTTGAGGCTGCAAAGCGATGACTCTTGTTTTGAGCTTAATGATACGCAGTAAAACCTGCTTTAAACCACTTCAATGTCTCCCTTGAAACGCTGAAATGTGACATTTCTCTATATACAGTGCCTTCCGTAAGTTAAAACAATAAAAAAAACCTGGGTCCAGTTGACAAGTATTTAGATTTTAAAAAACACAGTGTTAGCTAGACTTATTTATCTAGTCATTATATACAGGTGAAAAGAAATGGGAAATAAATATAATACATATCTATATATACAGAGATGGTGCTCACCACTGTAGTATTTCTCATTGGCTGTCTTGCCCTGGTACCCCCACACCAAAATCTCTTTTCCATTCCAGGTTTTAATGGTGTAATGTGGGCTAAAGCAGTGCAACTGCAAGAGCTACGGTCTGCAGCAGGCATCGTGTGGGGTTAGCAGGGCACTGTGCTCACTTCAGGTCATCTTGGCCCTCTTGCTGCCTATTGACCGATTCTATAAAACAAAGAGTGAAACAGGTTTCACTTGCTTTCCAAAACCAATGGGCGTTTTCTCCTTTTCTTGTCTTTCATGCATTCACTGTCAATAACTAGCCAGAGCTAATCGCATTTGTCAATACTGTGTAAGTGTTGGACCTCAATGCATATCTTCACAGTTCTCGAACGCAATGGGAAAAACAGTCAACACATCCATCAATGCTGTAAAAGCAGCTGGAACAAAGCAACATTATAAAATGTCCTGACGGCTGATGATGTAGACTGAGTCATGTGCTCCATCATACAAGGGTTTGGAAAAAAAAGCCGTATTACTGTAAGAGGTTTTTCAAAAAATCATAAAAAACTATTGTTCAGTGAGCAAAGGAGACTGAAGTGTAATGTAGAGAAAAAGATACTCTTAAAACTCCTACCTTGGCTTGCTTGTAGAAATGTGGGGCAAGTTCTACCAGCCAAGAAGATTCAATTGCAGTCACATCACGCATGTAATACTTGGAAGTCTGGACCACTTCATTGAAAACCACCCTGGGGATGAGGAGCACAAGACTTGTAGAGTCCCGAAGGCAATCTGAGGTGATTTTCAGACTGCGATTTCAAGTATTAAGGCAGGGTCATGCAGGCCTACCATTTTGGTGGCTTCTCAGCGTACAGGACAGATGTGGGATGAATGTGCAGCTCACGGTCATCTCGAAGAGTCCTAAACAAGAACCAGATATCTCAAGTCACACTCTGCTGCTGCCAAGAAGATTAAAAACAGATGTACCGTGATAAGATGTAATTTGAGAGAGTGAAAGAAAATTCTGCACAAAAATCATAACGCGTCGTTAAAAATATTTTGTTATCGGTTTTAGTGAATGCTGAGCTTTAAACATGTTTCTTATGGAGGAAACTGCACAGTAAAAACAACTTAAGCAACATTCATCAAAGGTAATGCTAAATGTACTCCTTCCTTAAAACTTGTTCTAATGGCAGAAATTATCTCTACGTACCTTGTATACTGAGTGCTATATTAGATTCAAATCATCTCACCTGTAGGAGCCTGAATGATGAAGTCTGGCTGCATTTGCAAAGAACCCAGAGACAATGCATTTCAGGATAACATCAGGATCTCCTGGACAGTAGATAAAGCAACATATCACAAACATGTCCTATATTTGCCACAGTTCTATAGCTGATGAAGTAACACCAAGCAACAACAGGAAAGAGGCAAACAGTACACCCTACTGGTGACAGAGAAAATCTGTCGCATAATCATACAAGCAATGTAACAAAGGTTGTTGTTTTCTTACACTGGTTGAAATATAAAAAAAATACACCTGGAGATAATTCAGCTTCCTCATAGTTAGACTTCACAACCGTAACAACCCTTTCTAGATATGAACATGCACAGGACACACCAATAATATTATTCTCTTTTGGCAGAAGGAGTTCACACTATTCATTTGTAGTGTGTATAAAGAGAGTTCATTTTCTATAAACTTGAAAAAGCTGTAGAGAGTCTGCCATGGACAACAAGAATGCATGCTCTCTAGGCATCACACATAATTCTATTTTGTTATTTGTTAATGTAGCTCCAGTACGTGATAAGATACATACACAGCACAGGCCCATAATATGGATATGGAAATACAACTGTACTTGAACACATAAGCAATAAATCAGGACTCTCTTCTGTTATCTATGACATTACCATTCCTCACAGACAAACCTTCACTGGAGGTTCTGGGTACTTTGAACTTGGTCATCAGCCGTCTGAGTTGTTCCCTCACGGTTACTGCACGCAGAAGCCCCTTGTAGTTAAGGAAGTGCTCTTGGCACCATTGAGAGCTCTTCTGATGCTAAGAATAATATGAAAATGAGTATTAATAGCAGAGCCACTGGGAACTTGGGATTTCAAATGAAATCATATAGCAATAATGGGGTGGAAAACTAGTTTTGATTATGAGTATGCTTAACTAATGTTGCAAAGAGAGCCAGATCGGATAAAACTGGTAAGAGTACTTTCAGAAAAATCTACACTGACATTGGTACAGATTTAATTTACCTACAAATACATTTAGCTATAAAACCAACTAAACATTCTTGCTCTTCAGCTTTTGTGGCAAGTTACACAGTTGAGTACTTTAGGCAAATACCTTTTCTTCCATGACAAAAATGCCAACACTTTAATACGCTCTGCCCTGTGGTCTAAAACACCAATACCTACCTACCAGGACAATATCTACAATGCACCATGTTTTCGTATTTCCAAGATCATCCTGATGAAGCGAGGGAGAGTGAAAGTGTTAAAAGATGAGGTGGGTACATACTTTAATAAAGGCTTCATACACATTGAGTATGGTGAGGTGGTCGCCTTCAGCTACTGCAAACTTCCTGTGCTCCCTAGCCTGAAGTGGAGAAAGACAAATTAAGCATGCAAATTTCACAGTATGAAATGAGAAACTTCCAAACCTGCTCTACAACAGTAACAATGCAGACAGTGGAATTTCATTTTCAAAGCACGGAGTGACCTCCATTTTCACAGAATGCACAACTCATTTGCTACAGGTAAAGGACTAGGATACAGAGCGCAATGGCAATGTCCACAAATTAAGAGCCATCGATTAAACACTCGTAAGTAGTTTGGAGTGACGATGGTAAAAAAATCTCAAACTTAAGAACAGTAGTTTGTAGTACCTGCATTTTAGCTTTTTTCCACATTTTCATCTGCATCCCTTTTGAATTATTCTACTTTGAGTGGTGTATCCACACATTCCTTTTCAATGCAGTTCACAGGGAAATGCAGTGAGGAAACAAATTAGGATCACGCAGGGCTTTGAAGCCCATTACTAACAGAAGGCTTTTTACTTCAAGAGAAGGGATCTCTTCCTTGTAATCCCCAAGCAGGGCAGTCCCAGTCCATATGGAACAATACACAGGCTGGTTCAAGTATGCTGTAACCGTACTAGGAGGCTCCCTAAATTGAACTGTACAAGCAATGAGCAATCTCAGAATGTGGGTCAGCATGGTTTATGAGTCACAACTATTCTCCATGGGGACAAACCCATTAGCTAATGCTGAAACGGTTTTCAAAGGGAGCTCTATTCAGGCACACTGTATCCACTACGAACAAATGTTCAACCATGAGAAAACGTGAAACAAGTAAGGCATACATAGGGAACAAGGTGAGGATTCAAACTAAGAGTCAGCTGTTTTGGCCTGAACTCTTTGCCATGGGTATAAATGCACACATCCTCTTACATTTCCTCATCTATTTCTTGGAATACTTATCCAACATGGAAAATAATTGCAGCTGAAACAACAATATTGCAATCACTGAGTGTACAGGTACAGAAAAGACAATGTGAAACAGCAGGATATGAAATAACAGGTGAACGCTGATGATATAACTGATATAAGTCACATGTAGAAGTGACAGGTGGAACAGAAAGAAGACTTAAAAAAAGTGCTTGCCTTTTTTTAGTTCAGAGTGAGGAAGAGGGGGAGAGCTGCTGAAACAGGAGAATGTAAAGAAGTAGTATGCATCAGACTGTGTCCTGGTGATGTAGACTGTACTAAAGGGGAGGTCTTGATTTAATGCTTCTTCCCAGCAGAAAAGGAAATACTTTCAATGCAAAACTGCATGCGACTGTTCAACTATTTAACTTTAGAAGGACAGCACAGCGATTTCATCTTCAGAAGCCTACCTCTACCTGCCTCTGAAAAAATGGGTTTGTGCTTTTCAGTTAACTGGTAGATCAAAGCTTTCATTTAATACAATCCTTTGCCTAATTGAAAAACTTCTATTTCTAATACTTCTGTAATACTGTCAACTTGTGAAATTCTCTTGCATGTAATATTCCCAGGATTACTGCAAATTTTAATAGGAGAATAATATTGGCGTGTCCTGTACATGTCCAAATTACATGCACAGGACACACCAGTATTCCTAGTATTACAAAGTGATTTTTTTAAATTCATCTGACCATTTAGGAAGTTAGATGCACAACCTTTTGTGAAGTTAAAAAAGGAATGGGAATTCTCAATTTTAAAATCTTAACTGTGGATGGTTTTACTCCAACCACTTCAACAGCTGTTATCAAAAGTTCAGTTTGCCATTGGGCACACTGATGACAAAAGCAATGTGAATTTAGACTGATGATCCCTTTCAGATGGCTTAATATTTTCAGATGGACTGAAAAATATGTTAAACCATCTACAGGAAAGTTTTCATTTCCTTTCAAACAGCTTCCCTGACATCCACAGTGGCCCATCCTTGTCACATAATCTGAATCCACAATTCCTGCGTGTTGGGATACTTAGAAGGTCCAAGTATGCCAGATGAACCAAGCATTCCTCTAATGCAAGCACTGGGTAGACAAGCAGCAACCAAACAAGGAGCTAGTTTAACTTACACTAATGGAATTCATTTAAACGTGGGAAACAGAGGAGGACATTTGAGCAGAAGAGAGACACGCCACATGTTTGAAGTGGGAATTCCCTATGTTTAAAGATATTTTGCAAACTAAATTGGTGCATCTTAAAGTTTTAAAACCAAGTCTAATGGACAGAGGAAGAAAGGCATCCTTTCTACCCTATACTATATATGAAACCAAAGCGAAAGCAAATGGTGAACTGAACTGAATTCCCTTGATGATGCATGATGCACTGCTTGGTTCCTGGAATTGGGTGAACACTGTTGATCATATGCATAAATCCAGAGGATGAAAAACCTGCATCACAGGTATATCAGCATTGCACACGGTAGATTCAAATGTATATTATCCTGTAACACATACAAATTATTTGTGATTCAGCCTGTTGTGCACACGGTGGTAATATGAGCATGGTAGGACTTACAGCTGCCTTCTTCTGGTTGGGAGGACTCAGGAACACATTCTGGATCTGCATCATGGCAGCAATGGTCACTATCTCTTTAGAGCAGCCAAAATTCCCTGTACCGAACATGCAAAAAGTCAGCCTTAGAAGCAACTACAAAGTAAAAACATTTTTTAAATTCAGTACCTATAAAAACAGGACCATAGGGAACACCTCATGGTACACACCCAAAGGCAATAACTTCATCCGTGCGTAACAGAAGTGGACCAGTACAATTTTAGCATACAAGACTGCCAGCACACCCAGAGCTGTGACATCTTCTGGTCTTAACCGTTACTGTGTGAATGGTCTACACAGTTTTCACAATACAGATTTTTAAATAAGCCAGCTAATCTTTTGTGTTTAGAGATCACAATACACAATGTAGTAAAACATTCTGTGGGAATTGTATAACTATTTGTGATAAACCTACGTTTAGATAGTGTTCCCTACTGTATTTCTAATAAAGACTCTGCCTCTGGGAATCTCAGTCTAGAAGACGGCGGCTTTCTACTCTTATACGACATATTTCTACTCTTACCTGACTCCAGCAGCATCTTGGCAAACATGGGGCTGAGGGGGAACTCTGCCATGCGGACTCCCATAGGCTCAGTGAGTCGCCCATACTGGTCTAACCCTGGAGCAGGGACAGGAACAGGTAAACTCCACCACTGACTATGATTTTGTGCTCAAAAAGGTAAAGAGACAATTGTTTCCTAAGACAAAGTATTATGCTTATGGCTTAGAATTCGAATAATAAAGGGATAGTTTCACATGTCACTGATAAACCACACAAACACCAATGGTATTTACTGCAACTTAACGAGATCCTCATACTTTCTTAACTAAAGGGGATAACCTCAATGCAAGAAAAATAATGTGTAACGCAGCCGTCTCTACTTACCACCAAGAGCGTAAAGCAGCTCTAAGGCCTGAACCATAGACTGGGCTGGAGGGGGCTGGCAGAGAAAAGAGTTTTGTTTTCATGTTAGTTATCAATTCATTTCAGGCTTTCAATTTCATTGACTTTGTGACCCAGGTTAGCCATCTCCCACCCCAAAAGTAGAGCCTTATTAAACAGAATCAGATTCAGTGAGCAAATTCACTGCAGCAAAATGGGGAAAAAGCAGTCTATCTGGAGAACTAAGGGGCCTGTGGTTTGCAACAGTGACTCACGGAGAGGAAGTTAAATCTCAGGACGTTGTCTATGCCCAAGGCCTTCAGCTGCAGGATCACTGGGGACAGGTTTGTGCGCTGCATCTCCGGCACTGTCACTGGGGGCAACTCTTCATAGTCTTCCTCTGCACAGGGAATAGTGTGAGGATCAGGGAAAAGGGAAGGAGACCTGCACCCTTGGGAAGGCAATGGAAAAACGTACCCGGGTCTTCCTTACCTGTGTAGAGCCGGAAACATTTTCCTGACCTGTTTCGCCCCCCCCGTCCTGCTCTCTGTGTAGCCGAGGCCTTCGAGATGGGGGTCACCACCAAGGACTCGATGGCTGTTTTGGGGTTGTAGGCCCTCAGTTTCACAAATGCGCAGTCAATCACAAAAACTATCCCATTAATGGTGATGGAGGTCTCTGCAATGTTGGTAGCAACCACCACCTGTCACAGAACAAAAATAAAGCACAATTCAAAAAATGATAATTCTCTACATTTCTATAGTGCTTTTCAGCACTATACAACAGGCTTCCTCCAGCACTGAAGTGCAGCCACCACCTGGGTGACATCAGCTATCCTGCCCCAGCAGCCCCACTGCACAGCAGAGCAGCTGAAGCGAGAGACAGCTTCCCAAATCCAATTAAGGGGGAACTTTAGGAAGGCCAGACTGTGAAAGCCCAGAGCCAAAAATCCAAAATATTCTAAGTAGAAGTGGGATCTTTAATGCCCAAATAATCAAGTCCTTCTCCTCCAACACAGTATATCTTGCCAGAAATGAAGAAATATGAAGACGTAAAATACGGAGGAAAAAAAATTAACCCAGCATAAATGCATTGCTTCTGTTCTGACTGCCACATTAAAAACATACTCATCTTTTCACATCGGAATACTAATAATCTCTATCAAATGTCATAAAGTATATGTATCACACAGACAAAAAATATCCTGGCTTATTAAGACATAATGTCAATAGGTGATTGAGTAAATAAAAATAATTTTACAATTTGCTCATTTTCTAAGAACCACTGATGTTGTTTGGCCAATCATTAAGAAATAAAGTAAAAGTTGTTTTTTTAACCCAGAATGCACAGAAGAAATTCACCTTTCGCACAGAAGGGGGCGCTCGTTCGAAAACCTTCATTTGCTCCTGGTAGGGCAAGCCTGCATACATGGGTAGCACTCGGAGGTGTTTCTTCATCCCAAAGCGCGACAGGGCCCGGGCCTGCTCTACCAGCAGAGAAACCACCCTCTCCACCTCCTCCTGCCAACACAAGACAGCTCAAAGGTTTGTCCAAATAGGGAACCACATGGGTAACAAACATCATAAAAATCTAAGGAAATTAAAAACACAAAAGCCCCTGCAACTGAGAACAACCTCAGCAAAGCCAAGAAGTGCGTTATTCCAGTAGCATGGTATGAGTCTTCAATTCATCCTCCTCTGCTGTTGACCCAACTCACACAGCCAAGGGACAAATGCACAACAGCAGAACACCAGATCTTTGCGGTTGGGGGGAGTCAGTGCTCTTGGGACACATGAGGGGAGATGTTATAATAAACACAACTGACATCTGAGGTGCACTACAGAGAAGAGGATGCCCCCCTGACCCCACCACTCAAGATACCTTTGGGAACATAATTTCAGCTCTTTGCAAGTTCAGTTTAGTTAATTTGTCATATGCAAAAGTGCAATGAAATGCTTATTTGCATGTATGCTCCAACACAGCACAAGCTGTGTGCAAAAGAAAACATCGGTCTGAGTCAGTGAGAGACAGAACTGAATAATCTGACAGCCTGTGGGAAGAAGCTGTCTCTGAATCTTGAGGTTTGTGCCTTTATGCTCCAATAACAAAAAGTGAGAAATCAGGATAATTGTGATCCTTGTAATGTTTGTAATGTAATTTCATACAAGCAGATTATATACCTGACCGGTGAGGAAAGCAAGAACATCTCCATCTCCCTCTGTTTCGTGAATCTTCAGCACTGTCTCCACTGTAGCTTTCACATAGTCAGGGACAGGGCTGGAAACAGCGGGAACAGAGTGTAAAATCACACCGCAAACTGCAAGGGTTACATGCAATGCAACACGCTAGAAACACAGAGAAGTGGTAAAAGACCGGATGAATAAAATAAAAGAGATCCATCTTTGTGTAAAGTGTGTCAGTGTTCTGCTTCACTTTACAAGACCCTGTTTAATAAGTGACCCTATAAAAAGAGGAGAGCTCCATAAAATAACAACTGGCTGTTTTTTTCTTCCTTAATTATAATCACTATTTTGTTTTACATTCCTACACATACTGGACCTGTCAATGGCTTTTTTTTTTAAAGGATCAGCTCTCCAGCAACAACTCCCATATTGCACTGGGCAGAATGCGACAGGCTCACATTCGGAATTCTGAGAATTCCAACATGCCCACCCGTAGGCACTAGCTGCCGGAGCGCCGGACAGGAAAGGTCGTGAAAACTGGAGGAGCAATGTGTCTCTCATGGCCGCAGCAGACAGAGAGCCGACAGAGTCCTGGCAGTGTAGTCGCAGTGCTGCCCTGGCAGAGACAACCTGAGCTTTTATCACCGACACTGACAAATGAAGGTTGTGTATCGCTCAGCGAATTACACACATCGCATTTATCTCAACAGGTTTTTCGTGAAAAATACAGAAATATCGTAAACAGGGTGTTGACACAGTTTCCCTTGAAACAAAACAAGGTCATTATCTCTGGAATAAGTGTTGAGATGGCAGATAATTTTCACTGTCATAGGGACGCTGTGATGCTGCAGTATCGGGAAGATGACAAGGAATGGGTCCTTGTAACGTGTAGTAATACAAACGAATACGAGTTACATTGGTTACAGGTTTACCTCACTGTGTAAAAAATGTCCACTGGATACGTCCTCCCTTCTACTGTTAGAATCCTGCAGGTGTCTTTATTGGGGTCTCCAGACTCATTCAAGTTAAAGAATTCTTGAAATTTCTAAAGACAAAAAAGCGCCGTTTTGAAATTCATACAGTAATAGCTTCAGACAGAATTTCATCTCTACACTCGCAAAATCATTTACTTACGTGTCTAAAGAATGGTTTATGCAAAACTAAACTTACATTTTATAATGTTTTTTTATCTTCATTTCAAGAACCCTAAAGCATTTTACATATAATAGAGTTATTCACACTTTTTATGTTGTTTTGTCTGAAGTCAAAGGCAAACAATTCAGATCCTGGAAATGTGACCGTGGGCTGAGCACTAAAACCTGTTCAAACCTGGCTTAAACTGAGATGATTCATGAGAAGACAGGGATAATAAATAAAAACTGACATTCTAAATATACATAGACCCACAACATTTTATCAAGACCTGCAGGAATACATGTTTCTGTTACCATTCCACCTTCATTCATCTCAAATTCCCCCTCTAAATTACCTTGGCATCTAGAGTAGCTGAAGCAATTATCAGTCGGAGATCTCTGCGTTTCTTCTGAATCTGATGAAGGTTTCAAAAAAGGATCTTTAATCCTCAAGTAAGGCACAAATTAATCCACCCAATTAACACACTACAGTAGCTGCTTTCATCATAAGCACAAGGCAAGATATTATTCACCCGTTGGCACTAGAAATATACTGATCACCACCTCACAGCTACATAAAAAAATACCTTCACTAGACTTCTACTTAACATTCTTAAAAATTGTCTTTTTTCCTAAATGTTCACACCTACAATATTACTCCTTTATTTTAAATCTACTTTAAAGATTCATCATAAGAATATGGCCCTTTTGTCTAAATTGACTTTGGTCATTCAAAATGTGAAAAAAAACAAAATACCACCAGACGCTAATAGTACAATCACATTTCAGAATTGACTGAAAAATGATCCACTCTGACAGATTCCCCAGAAAAGAAGCTTTCTTTAAAAAACAAATGAAGTAATACAGTGACCTTCTTTAGCAGGCCGATTGCAATGTCTGTGTAGAGTGTTCTCTCGTGAGCCTCATCCAGCATCAGCACACTGCAAAGAGGACAGTAGAACATCAGCTCAAATCTGGCACAGGATTAAAACAACTACATCACACTGCTAGAACAAACAGCCTCTTTCTCTACTGCTGAAGACCCCAGTTTTTGTGAAGAGGATTAAAATTAAAAACTCTTTTGAATGGGTTGCTCAGAATGAATGAGTCATAAGTCATACTGGAGACTCAGTTTCAGAAAGGAAAAGCTGATATGAAGTTTAAGTTGTTTGTACAGACATTGCCTTATCCACCACAGCAACGATAACAACAAAACCAACCGTGTTTTTCAAAATCTGGCATATAAACTTGGCTCTGATCATTATAATTAAAATTCTGCAACCTGGAAGGAGAAATCTACTAATGATGTTATGACATATTCTGGGAAATCTTAACTGTGCTTTTGGTTTAGAAGACATCACTAAATGTCTTTTTAATGGTGGTTCTCTGCTATATTGTAATAACAAAAATGAAAAATATGAATGCAAAAAAACCATAGCAGAACTGTGATTAAGGGAAAAAAACAGTCTCAATGTTATGAACAGATTTAGCTATGGCAATCTCAGCTGACACTTCTACTAAATATATCGGGTATGTATCATTCAAGGAACCTACTGTTGATATTATAGGTCTAATCTATTTTTTAGTGTGAATATAGCTCAATTTAACATTTCATTTACATTGGAATGAGATGCACACTGATAATGTCACACGTGTTCCTAGACTAAACCACAAACAGGGTTTGTGTATTTTTGAGTATTCAGGGTATAGCCTTTGGACAGTACCTGTACTTTTTTAGCAGTGGATCCGCCATCATCTCTCTGACCAGCATTCCATCTGTCAGAAACTGAAACACCACAAACAACACAGGACATGACAAAGTCCCTGCAAGCAGCAGCTGAGCTTAAAAATACATTCACATTTGTTTAAGTATGCAGCTGCAACAGCTTGCAGTGTTTTTCCTGTAAACGAACAAGTAAAAGTTAATTCCACATTGAAAAGTAAGAAGACGTTTTAGATGTTGAGCCTCCTTCGGGTATGAGTTGAGAGAGAGTAAGGTGGCGAGAATATAAAGCACAGCACAGTGCAACATGGAGTTAGAGAGAACGGGCTTACAGGTGAGAAAGTGTGTCAAAACGAAAAGAGATCTCAGGGATAGGTGTAAAAAGCTGAAAGCTGAAACTAATGGAAGGGTTTAGAAAAGAAACGAGTCAGTCTTTGAGAGAGAAGGGGGAGTTCAATGCTGATGACACTTTTTCTCATGCGTGGAATTAACCTTTACTTCTCTAAATTGATCATTTACAATTTCAGTGCTTATTCTTAGTGGGGTCACAGAAAACCCATGAACCCCAAGTTGACCAGTAGTCAATGCCTGTTGTACTGATAATTCCTAGATCTCACATGATTTTCAGGTTGATAATTTGAGGCACTGGATCTAGAAAAGGAAAATGGATTACTCCTGGTTTCTTCCACTGTATGTCTTAGTCATTAAAAAAAGCAAAAACCGCTGACCATGATTACTCCTTGAAATACTTGGCCTTTCCCACGTTCGCATCTGCAGGTCTCGTACCTTTATGCGCGTGGCATGGGGGTCAGAGCAGTCGTCGAATCGGATCGTGTAGCCCACCTCATGACCCAGCAATGCCCCCCGTTCCTCAGCCACTCGACTGGCCACCTGATTGGAAGGAAAGAAGAGGGGACAGGCGGATCTATCTTGCATTTGGCTGTTTCAACAAAGTGACTGCAGCACAATCAACAGTCTAAGTGCCCCTCGTCACAGCCACAAAGCATGAATGTGGGAGTCTCTCACCGAAGTTGCTGCAACTCTTCGGGGCTGGGTCACCCCGATCACCTTGCCCTCTGCTGCCCATCCAGCCTCCAGAAGGTACTGAAGCAGAGACAACAAGACACTGTTGTTCAGTATTACTGTCTTGAAAGTATTTAAGAAAAGTTACGTTTCTAACCATGCAGTCTAATCTTGATCCAATACAAAACCACCTCAAAACACATCTTCATGCCATTTTCCAGGTTAATACATATTTATTACCATTGCTGCTTAATATGATCTCTCTATGTAATTAGGTAGCAAACTGTAATGCTGTTGTGTGAACAAAAAAATAATCAGAGAGGGACACAATGTAAAGTGTGAAGGACATTTCTGGCAATGATATAAATACAAAACAGGAATGAGAGCTGCGCTGAGCGCCTAATGGAACACAAACCTGAGGGATCTGGGTGCTCTTCCCAGAGCCTGTCTCACCCACAATCACCACAGTCTGATAGTTCTCCACCAGGTAAAGGATGTGATTTCTGTGCTGGATTTAAAAGGCAACACAACAGGACATTACAGGACAGTACAATAACACATGCACATCTATGTTAAAAAAAACAGACTTCTAAATTACTGCACACAACATAGGCACACTATTTTTTTTTTCATCGTAATAGTATGTTTCTTTCATGCACCATCTAAAATCCCTTCATAAACGTCATTTCACTCTTCAAAGTTCTATAGCTGCCATTTTGATACTTCGCACTCTGCAAGGGATGGTCCATCCTACTCCTTGAGAGGCACAATCTAGCAAGCATTATGGATCCCCCATATGCATTCACAGCAATTTGTTACCTCGACAGTAGCCCGACCAGGCCCTTTAGAAACACAGCATGTGGGACTGATCTCTGAATAAGGTAAGTGAACTGCGTAAGGTATCACAGTGAAATGGTTCCAGTGCTTTAGAGGTTGATAACATGGGGGTAAAGCAGAAAGTCTTACAGACCACAAGTGTTCATCGCTGCTCTTTAATACGGAAGAATACCTTGAATACTGGAAGCTTCTGCCTCTGCTTCTCGATGGACAAGGAGGAGAGAGGATTATATATGACCGGAGAACCGCCGATCTCTGAGGACAACTCCCGCTCCTCTCCTACTCCAGGGGCCTCTAATCCTACAAGACAGATCAGAGGCAGAAAGAAGTCATGAAAATAACTTCGTTTTAAAATAGTACCAATATGCTTTAAATTAATGGGGGTCCAATTTTGCCAAGACAGTCTCTACAGGTTGTCACTCCAATTAAGTTCTTCACGACCTAAATTAGAAGTCAGTTTGACATCTTTTCCCATCTCTTCAGGTGCTGGTGCATTAAAGAAAATCTGCGGACTGGACAGCCCTGTTTAAATTCATAAACTGAAGGACCCATACATAACATTTGGAAAAACTAAAAATAACTAAGGGGCACTATGTTGTTGTTGTTTTTAACCTGTTGGGTTTCTTTTCATATTTCATACTTTGTCAAAACCATTCCTTCTTTCCGTGTTAATATTAACAGCAGTATATTTCCTAAAGCATATCATTCTTAAAGCAGGCAAAAAAAATCATAAATAGTAACATACTAATTACATAACAAAACCCCTCAAACCGGATTTATTACCCAGTAAAACCACCAGCATCATTAATTTTAGTGCAGCATTTGGTGCAACCGATTACATGTTGTGCTGCACCTTATAAACATATTGGTCCCAATAATCCGAGGACAGTACATTTGTGGCGCAGTTTGTTCTGTTTTGGCAAATGTGTCCCAATCTTCTCTTGTGACAAACATCTTAGAAAGAAATCCCGTGGCTTTTTTCTCATGCAAACCAATAGGAGCTGGGTCTTCTCAGCTATATCAGCAAAACGGGTAAGGATCCCTACAACAAATGACATTTAATAATGTAAAATCTTAAATGTCATCTGTCTATTCAGCAGCCATACCGTTCTGTCTTTGTTGTGTGGTTCGTAATACGCACACGTTCTCTGTAGCTAGCCAACTACTGAACCGTAGCGCTTCTCAGATCTAGAAAAATCCATTTAAAGTCACTAGTAATAAGCACGATGAGTTTTTTAAACAGACAAGAAGAGGAAGAGGGGAAACATTAAAATAGGCTTATAAAGCAGAGACGTGTCGTAAACGAATATATAAACAATGAGTTTCAATTGAGATTTTTGCCGGCGTGATATTACTTTATAGAACAGCAAGCAATACAACTGGACATTAAACCAAAATAAATTATGTGGTAACAAATGTCAGGACACAAAATAATGCAAATATATTTATGTTACTAATAACACCGATATCTATTCTCACCAGGCTTCCAGAATTTCATCATGGGCAGGGGCGCCGCCATTTCGGGTCATAAGTCACAACTACAAAACTTTATTTAAATCTCAATACAGAGAACACTCGTAAGAATCACTAAGAGAGCCTGCGCTTGGTTGAGGTTTATAAATGCATACCCAAAATACGTCTTTCAAGGTTTTGCTTTAAGCTTTAGACTTTAGACTTTTTCGGTGTTTCTTCCTTTTTCAATACTTTTTTTTTTGCGCGGCAGTGGTACACCTTCCATTGAATCATATTTTGAAAGGTGGTTTCAGTGCAAATGGAAATTCGTTTAACATTTTAAGGACAATCAATATCCATAAACATATGAGCCTCCTTGATGTGAATAATACTAAGATATGACACGTGCCAACAAGTTAACTATCTATGACATAAACCTGTGGTTTTAATCTATGTTAAATCACTGTGATTGTAAAATCTATGGTTTTTATTCTGTAAGGCACGTTTTCTTATTCTTTCCCAACCGTGACACGCTGTTGCCAAACGCGTAACTGTGGGATAACATCCCGACTAGACCTCCCCAACATGTCATGATAGGGACCCCATGTATATCGCATCTATATCGCGGCAGTGTATATCACGACTAGCGCCTTGCTTCCATGCCACACTGGCACTGCTGTTGCAACAAAGGTCTCATATCAGGACATGATATACCCAGATAGTACGTATCACGATATATGGACTTTGTGTCACCACATGAGGTCAGCATATCCTGTCAGGGTATGTCCTATCGCAACATATGGACTGGACTCCATGTCGGGACATGGGGGCGGGGCTTTTTGCTGGGGTATGTCATATCGCGATATGCGGGCTTCATGTCGCGACATGGGGGCGGGGCATTTTTGCCGGGGTATAACATATCGCGATATATGGACTCTATGTCGCGACATGGGGGCGGGGCGTTTTTGCCGGGGTATATCATATCGCGATATATAGACTTCATGTCGCGACATGGGCGTGGTATTTTTTTCATATCGCGATATGCGGGCTTCATGTCGCGACATGGGGGCGGGGCATTTTTGCCGGG